TAGAACAGTTGTAGCACCCCCCTGACCTCCAGAAGCCTGAGGTGGACCCCCAAAGCCAGGGAGGGCCAACATTTCACTCTCAGGGGCAGGTCATAGCCAGTGAAGGTCTGTGCGATCAAGAAAGTTGAGCAGCAGTCACTTTAAGTGCCTTTTTTAATGCTTTGTTGAGGGCCCTTAACAATCGCGGTGGGTTACTGCACTTTGCATACCCTGATTTTATGGACTAACCCTTTAAGAACACCTGTCTTATGACCAGCACAGGGAGTGCTATGTATGAAGTGACAAATTATGGCTAAATAGGGTAAATCTTCCTTCCAAATGTTCTTGTATGGTGTGAATAACGAATGGCGTTATTTATGTTGTTAGGGCACCATTGGTTTATTTTTAAAATGCAGATCCAGCAGTTTTAAACATAGAGCAATGATAATTGTGGTAATCCATTGCTACAAAATGTCACTGAGATATTATATTTTCTTTGCTTCTAGTAAAAACAGGTGTCTGGCATCAGACAATAAATTACACAGGACAGGTGACCCACAAACCTGAAAAATGAAAGATGTGTGAATGGAGATATTTTGTGTTCTCCACAGCTGAGAATTCTAAATGATATATGACCAGCTGGCACTGCCCTGGGGGCACCTTGTGACTTCTCTATGACTTTATGGACTAGCAGTGCCAAATCACTTTCTGCATTGACACCGGGGCATTTACGGCTATCTGAGATTCCTGTAGCAGAAATGCCAGGTGGCCCCGTTTAGATGTGGTCGCTCTACCCATTGAAGTTAATGACAGGGTGACAGCAGGCACATCTGTCATTGGCAGTCTGCATGTAATCGTGCTTGGTACAATTAAATGTGGTTTGGAATAGATCACTGTCCCTGGATGAAGGATAGATGTGTCCAGCAACAGTCATCTATCCCAAACCGCATGTAATTGTACCATGAGATTTAATCAGTTGGAGGCTCATGTATAAACGTTCCACACAGTGTACAGCTGGGGGAATGCCATTCGCACGGCATTCCCGCCAGTAGATGGAACCTGTGGAGCATAATTTTCTATGTTCCTCGGCTTCATTTGGTGGCAGAAATGTGCTGCACATGTCATTCACCCGGCTATACCAAACTTTTATACATCAGCCCCCTAAGCCAGGATAGGCAACCTCAGAATTCCAGCTGAGGTAAAACTGCAAATGCCATCATGCTTCAGGGAGTCATACCTGTGGCTGTCACTCTTGTAATGCATCATGGGATTTGTAGTTCAACAACAGCTCAACAGGTCGCCTACCCCTGCACTAGGAGTTGCAAATGATTGCTAAACAAATTCTACCCCACTAGACAGGTAAGTATTCAATATCTTCTTTTGGGGTTGGGGTGCAGTTTAAATTCTTTTGTACTAGAGGCAGTGTTGCTTTAATGTTTGTGTATTATCATACGGTCACACATACAGTATATGGACAGGAAATAAGGGGAAATGTCCCCTATAGGGACACAGACAGGTAGCAACCTGACAAAGCTTTCACCCTTGAAGCCCGCAACAATGTAAAGACATAAAACAATGTGTTCCTTCCCAAATTCTATGAAAAGTAACCACCATAGAAAATATCTGATTATATTTAAAAGGAAAATGAAGGAAAAGCTACCTGAAGAGATAACCATTCCAGCAGTTCAAATATTTTGCCTTGTATAACAATACCCAGCATGATTCTAGCACTCTGCTACAATGTACCTTTACTTCTACATTTTCTATCATTATACCAAACACACTGCTTCCACAGCGGGCTGTATGTATAAGCAATCTTTTCTAGTAGAGACAGATGAAATGTGCTGCTGTATGTCAACCAGCTGCCAGGATTCTCTCTACAAACACATTACAGGCTAAGTACAGCCACTTAGCTATCAAGATATCAGGAGAGGCACCTCTGGATGTTTTAAAGCTGAACTCCAGGCACAAAACCTTTCCTTTATATAAATTATTCAATAGCCACAGAGGATAGATGCCTGTGCACACCTAGATACAGTATTACCTTGTAAAAGTAGCAATTACATCATCGCTGTACTGTACATAGCCTGTGCAGAGAGCAGAGCTGTGGGAGGGACCCAGAAGGCCCCACCCACTACACAAAACTACAGGAAGGGGGGAGACAAGGTCACCCTGCACAAGGAGAGAGAGCTGCAGTGACTAGTCTTTATGACAGGAACGCATGCACAGTAAGAATACACATGACGCTTGTATTTAGACCCTATGTTCTCAACTGGTGGGTCGTGACCCAAAAGTGGGTCGTGACCCCGTGTTCAGTGGGTCGCCGCTTGCATTCCACTTTTCTAGGTGAGAGGCTCCTCCCCCTAGCATAGCACTGTGAGTTCTCGCGCCGAGCAGCCATTCAAAAGATGCTGCCCGGTGCCGAGTGTCAGCTTAGGTGGGTTGGGCTAGGACTATGGCCACGAGGGAGCTCCATCCATAAGTGCATTGCTTACAGGTCCTTCACGTGCTCTGTAGAGGTGCCTGGACCGGAGTGATGTCACATTCTTGCTCCTGACACCTCTACGGGGAGTGCAAGGGAGTTGTACAAGCAATGCACATATGGATTGAGCTCCATCACAGCACAGCACAGCAGCCCACTCTGGACTCCAGGCTGAAGATCCACTACAGTTCTAGTACGGTAGGGAGACTGGGTGGATTTTTTTTTAAATTACATATTTTTTGCAGTGTGTATGTGTGTGTGAGAATGTCTGTGAGTGTGAGAGATTGTGTCTGTGGTTGTGTGTGTCTGTAAGTGTTTTTGAGGGCCCGTTCACACTAGTACAGTGCGTTAATCTCACAGTCCGTGCAATTAACGCACTGTACCACGCAATCGCACCTACCTTGCGGTTTGGTGTGGGAGCTGCATTGCCATTCATCTCCCACCCACAGTTATGTCGCCTGCATAGGAATGTGCGGTACTGCAATGACATGCGTTCCATTGCAGTGCTACTTGGGTCACGACTTAATGACCGAGGACAAATGTGGGTCCTGAGGTTACACAGGTAGAGAACCATTGATTTAGACATTATTTGGATCCCAGAGTTCTGCTTTAAGGCGTTAAGAACCAATGAACAGAATAATGAAAATAAGGGAAGGAAGGAAGAATAAAGTGTATCATAACCCTAAAAAACAAACATTTAATACATTTCAGCCCTTAGATGTGGTGGCTGCATTCATTTTTGTTTTTCAGGCATTGTATTCACCTGAATGGTGATCCTGCCATTTTTTCAGGCATTGTATTCACCTGAAGGGTGTGCTCATTGTCTATATATAACTGGGGGATGTGGCAAGGGTGTGCCCATGGCCTATATATAACTGGGGTGCAGCAGGTGTGTGCCCAATGCCTAAATACAATGTGTTGGAAAGTGTCCCTCCTCCTTATCTCAGAAAGTTAGGAGGTATGTACTGAAGCCAATTCAGAAGGTAGCCAATTAGCCTTCCAGCATGTCTGTGAGTGTGAGAGATTGTGTCTGTGGTTGTGTGTGTCTGTAAGTGTTTTTGAGGGCCCGTTCACACTAGTACAGTGCGTTAATCTCACAGTCCGTGCAATTAACGCACTGTACCACGCAATCGCACCTACCTTGCGGTTTGGTGTGGGAGCTGCATTGCCATTCATCTCCCACCCACAGTTATGTCGCCTGCATAGGAATGTGCGGTACTGCAATGACATGCGTTCCATTGCAGTGCTACTTGGGTCACGACTTAATGACTGTGGACAAATGTGGGTCCTGAGGTTACACAGGTAGAGAACCACTGATTTAGACATTATTTGGATCCCAGAGTTCTGCTTTAAGGCGTTAAGAACCAATGAACAGAATAATGAAAATAAGGGAAGGAAGGAAGAATAAAGTGTATCATAACCCTAAAAAACAAACATTTAATACATTTCAGCCCTTAGATGTGGTGGCTGCATTCATTTTTGTTTTTCAGGCATTGTATTCACCTGAATGGTGATCCTGCCAGTAACACATATCCTGTCCTAGGGTGACAAAGCATACTGTACTCATCATACTGTATCTATGCAGGGTTGTCACCATAGGACAGGAAGTGTGCTTTGGGACTACAGTACACCTTCCCTGTCCCCATTTCCATAGCATTAGAAGAGGTGTTCTGTAGTCCTAAGAGAAAACTAAAAACAATGCTAGCTGATAACAGCTCACACGACAGGGACAACTGTTTTCTTGGGGTTTTTTTGCACTTATCATCAAGGAGATATAAGAAAACATTTTCAATGGTATGTTTAGCAGACTAAATGGGAACAAATCAGAGACGTTCAGTGTTAGGGGTTTACATACACTTTAAACAGAATTAAAGCAGGACTCCAGACAAATCAAATCTTAACTCTTGCAGTAGGGCTACTTCTGCACTGCAAGGGTTAATTGCTCGCTTCATCCAGGGTGCTAACATAACAAAGTTATATTCACCCGAAGTGCGATCCCGGCTTGCTGTTAGACTGGTCCCTTCAGCCTCGCTCCCCCTCCACTGTAGCGGTCTACGGTCCCGTGACTCATCATGTGCTATACACGGTATAGAATGTGAGGACGCCAAGGGACATACCAGAGACCATTGTTCTCTGAATAATATACTCACCTCTCCGGCAGGCCAGGACTTTGTTCTGTCAACATGTTGGAGCCCCTGCCAGACTCTTCAGCATTTAAAACTTCCATTAGTGTAGGATGCATGTAGCAACCCCCGACGGTGTAAATAATCCTGGAAGTGTCAAATACTGAAGAATCTGATGGCATCTGCAGAGCCTCAATGGAGCAAAGGAACTAGCTTGAGGTATTTTTTGGGGGGTGACAACAGTGTTGCATTAGCAACCTAATTCTGATAATGTTTTTAGATTTGGGGTGTACTCACTTTTGCTGCCAGAGGTTTAGACATTAATGGCTGTGTGTTGAGTTATTTTGAGGGGACAGCAAATGTACAATGATATACAAGCTGTACACTCACTACTTTACATTGTAGCAAAGTGTCATTTCTTCTGTGTCGTCACATGAAATGATATCATAAAATATTTACAAAAATGTGAGGGGTGTACTCACTTCTGTGAGATACTGTATATAACTGGGGGTGTGGCAAGGGTGTGCTCATTGTCTATATATAACTGGGGGATGTGGCAAGGGTGTGCCCATGGCCTATATATAACTGGGGTGCAGCAGGTGTGTGCCCAATGCCTAAATACAATGTGTTGGAAAGTGTCCCTCCTCCTTATCTCAGAAAGTTAGGAGGTATGTACTAAAGCCAATTCAGAAGGGAGCCAATTAGCCTTCCAGCATGTCTTTGGAGTGTCTTTGGAGTGTGGGAGGAAACCAGAGTACGCGGAGGAAATCCACTCAAGCACAGGGAGAGCATGCAAACTCCATGATTGATAGGAGATTTGGAGGACCGTCCACATCATTTTGGTCATATAGTGAATGTGCAATGTGTATGTATCAATATCCATTTTTTTAGTTTACAATTATTGTTTTGTGGCCCTGGTATATGTTTCTGTATATACACTAAAGTGCATTTCTGCAGAAAACAATTGATCTTGTGACAACTAAACTCTATATGCAGCCACTCAAAACTCAGATTGAGCTCTATCTGATCCACAATCAATCCTGAGTTTCTCAATAATGTGCTATATTCCCTCTTCCCCGTTCTTGGCTCCACTATAAGAAATAGTGAGCGTCTCTTACTCGGTTTTGTGAGTGTCGATGGTGTGGAAAAGCTCGCTCAGCTCCTCTGCACTTAGGATTCCATCAGCAAAGTAAGCCTTGAATTCTTCAAAGGACAGTTTTCCATCATCTGCAATCACAAGAGGAAGCTGTATTACTGGGAGATGATAAAGCATTATCCAGAACAGCAGCTAAAAGCTTCTGAATTTCACTTGAAGTGTTAAAATCAATGGTTGGTACTGGTCAGGTAATTCTCAGATAATCTACATTCTCTTAAAAGCTGAACTCCTGGCACAAAACCTTTCACAGTATATTCCTCAATAGCCACAGTAGCAGTGACATCATTGCTATACTGTACATAGCCTGTTCAGAGAGCAGAGATGTGGGAGGGAAACATCAGGCTCCACCCACTGCAGAAAACTATAGGAGGGGGGCGGATACAAGACCAGTCACCCTGCACAAGGTGAAAGAGCAGCAGTGACTGGTCTTTATTAAAGGAAGCTCCTACACAGATCTGGAAGAAATACACCAGGCTCCAAGTACAGTAAGAATACACATGGCTCTTGTATTTAGAAAATATGTTCTTATACCAGAGTTCGGCTTCAATAATAAAGAAAATGTACTTGTTGCTTTTCCTAGCCGCCTGAATAATGCTGTACGCATTCTAGAGAATGTCCATACCAGGAAAGTACTAAAACCTTTAGATTTAAGGGAAAGTATTTGTTATAAGCTCATATTTGAGGTGTTACTACAATACATATATATATGTATATATACATACATAAAGTATGGAACATTAATTGACAGGTGTCTTTTTTCAACCTGATTACCTATGTACATATGTAACTCACAGTGTAAAAAAGCGGCACGGGTGTAACCATTTCAGTGGCGCTCTCTACATCATTGATGCCCACCCACCACCAGGAGATGAGCCAAAGAGGACTTCGGAATTCATGACATGAGCACGTGAGCAGCCTGGAGACTTTGAAAAAAACCCGTAAAAAACAAAACAACATTTACAGTGGGTGACTTTCATGGGGAGAGGTGGAGCAGTGGGGGAATCCACCCCAAGTTGAGTTTTTTTACAGTAATTTTTAAATGACTTTCACATTTTAAAGGCTTGTTTAAAAAACAAAACAAAAAAAACTGCTAAACCTGTGTATGTCTGTGTTAAAATGAATTAAAAAATGATATTAATATAAATACACGGGGAACAAAAGTAGCCACCCTCCAGAAGGAAGGACAGTGTCAGCACCAATTCAGAGATGATTTGAGGTTCTACAGCCGAGTAATACACAAATAAGATACATTTTTGTTAATAGGTAGGAAACTTGAATGAATTTTTAAGATTTAATTCCTGAGTTTAGTGTCACTTTAATGAATTGTAGCAATGCGCTATCAGCCCTTTTAACCCCCTCTCTATCACCTAATTTCTACTGCGGTTTCAGGTCTTTTACATAAGGCCATTTTTTAACGTGCAAAATTCTCAGTTTGATTAGTGTACAATAAACAGAAAGATCAATTAGGGATCACAAGAGAAACACATGAAAGCTTTCTGGATAACAAAAACAAACTAATTACATAAATTGCATATCAAAATAATATAGGAGATACTTGGTTCATTCTGTGAGTCATCCGGCATGAGTGCTTTTCTGGCAGCTCATGTTTGTTGTTCTTTCAACTGTATACATATTTATAGAAATTATAAAGAGCTAATTGAAAAGGTAGCAGAAACAATTATCAGCCTTAGGCCTCGTGCACTCGGCCGGAAATGGCATCCTGTACAAATCAATGACGTGCTGGCTAAAGCTGTGGCTGTACGGGTATATATATGTATATCCCATTTTTACATGCATACAAGGACTAACACATGGCCCCAAACTCAAACCCTCTGCATAGGGAGCAATGCAAAGGAATGGTACGCATGTAACAATGAGATTTGGATACAGCAACGGCTTCAGCTAGTTTATCACTCATTTCTATACGATAGCTGCACGCAGCTGTGGGGCAAAACTATGGGGGTTATTTACTTGGCAGCAGAGTGAATAACCGAGCCGAAGTGAAGTGAGCCGACCGCTGTTCGGCTATTCACTTCAGCCCTGTACAGCTCATTTCAGCCGTACATTGGCTAAAATCATCCGTACATCGGCTGGCTTCGGTCAGCCGAACATGCTCATTATGTTCGGCTGAGCTGAAGTGAAGAAGTTGTTAGACTCAGCCAATCCAACATCTGGATCGGCTGAGCCGAACCTCCGGCAGTTCACTCTCTGCCGTTCGCCCCTATTCTCAGAGGGCCTGAATGGCAGTGAGCGAATACCCAAATGTCCTCGAACAGCATTTAGCTTGGTTATTCTGCTCAGTACCTCAGTTCTGCTAGTAGAAGTTGCGAGCAGAATAAAATAAAAATGTAAACAAAAGTTAAAAAAAAGAGAAACAATAAAATAAATGTAAAAGAAAGAAAAATATAAAAAAACAGTGTAGGGTCCCCCTCTCAAACCATACTAGACCCTATAGGTCTGGTAGAAATGTTAGTAGGGACCCCAATTTAAAAAAAAAAATTGTGTGGGGTTCACTCTCATGTTACAGTCCATGAACCCATCACACTCAAAACCGCTGTTCCATATGAAAAACGGGTGCTGCGGAAGTCGACGGATGGCAACTGTCTATAATCACAGAATAACATAGACTGTAACGCACGAGCCGAGGAGGTTTAGGTAGGATCTCAGCTGCGGAAATTGGCTAAAACCTGTGAGTGTGAATTGGCTCAGATCGAGGGTTCCCGTTTACACTCTGTATGGTATGGAGTGGTGTTGTAACCCTCTAGTACATCATACGCCAATCACAGTATCGAATGGGGGGTTGGAGTTCCCCTATAGGTATGCACAGCAGCACCCTTAACTAGGTATATGGTAAACCAGCAGCCTCTAGTTAGTATGAAATTGTATGAGTAGTTGCAGTCACATTAACCCCACAGTATCCACATTGACAACTGAGATATGTTACAAGAGAAGCGCAGCAGAAGTGTTGGTATACAGTGTGGAAATGGAGTAGCAGTTCCCTGATATGAAGTTACATCGATTGCACAATTAAGTAATTGCTGACACTTCCTATGGAGTAGCCCCTAGGGCAAGGTACTTGCGGTTTTAAGGGTGGATCTACAGTCCATTAGCCTTTCCAGGGAAGATGCTAGTAAAGTCCTGGCAGTTCCAGAGAGAGATGTCCCATATGAAGTCAGAGGAGAGCAGGGGGAATCCCTGTGAAGCACCCCACGGTAAGGGAGAATGTGTGGCAGAGGAGAGCGGCAGGCTGGAGATAATGTTGATGGTTCCTGTGTCCCACTATCAGGCAAGTTGCACTGGCTCGACGGTCGCAACACTAGAACGCCGAGCCATTGCAACTCGCGTCATTATGAGGAGGAGGATCCCAGAGGGGGAGGAGCCGAGCGCGCCGTGCGCCGCCTCGGCCTCCTCGTGACGTCACGCCGCTGGGTGAAGAGGCCGGCCCGCGGCCCCAAGCGCCGGACATGGGATACGCTATGACATAGACACTCCAAGTAATGAATCAATAGCGTCTGTTTATTGACGCATGAAACATAGCACAATGCATCAAAAAGAAACGTTTTGGGGGCTCACAAAATCCCCTTTATCAGGCAAAACTCATTTCGCCTGATGAAGAGGATCTTGTGAGCCCCCAAAACGTTGCTTTTTGATGCATAATGTGTGCTGGTTAACTTGACAATAGCTCTAGGAAAATTTGCCTACCTAAATAATTATTTTATTGTTTTTAGGAATTTTTTTTTTTAATCCTTTTTAAATTTTCTTGTATTTAAAAAATGTAAAAAAAACCTTTAAATTGTTCTTTCTGTATTTTACAGTGACATCTGAAACCAGCAAACATAATGTGATCACCTTGAGTGGTTGTCATGGTAATAACAAGGCAGAGAAAAATGCTAATTGAAATCTTTTTAAAATTATCACAATTATATAGGGAACATGTTTAACGCAGTACTGTATAACCTGAGGTATTTTACATTAAATTCTTGCTTAAATTGAATGGCCAGCCTCCTTATGGGCACAGATACCTCACCCCTGCTTGCAAAGTCAATTTACAAAAATTTGAAAATGTCTTCAAGGCCTTCATGGAATTCTTTAAACATACTGTAAGGCATTCCAGGTTAAAGATATTATAAATGCGCTTAAGCAAGTCGGACCTAGAGGGCGGATTGGATTGTTTCCATTTTAGGGCAATTAAACATCTGGCTGCGATAAGAATGTGGTTTACCAATTTAGTAGAACGTTTGGGCAAGTAGGGTATCAGAAGGTCCAGCAAGCAGTGGATAGGGTCTAATGGAATGGAAGTGTTAACGACACTTTCCACTAAAGAAATTGCATGTCTTGCATCAATTGTGCAATCCAAATAGCAACCGAAGATCAGGTGGATTTTTTCAAAGCTTCTGTGCCGAACCAATTAGATTAGGTCTGGCTGGGCTCGATTTCGAACTCACCTTGACTTATCCGATGGTTCCAAACATCCATGTTAGTTACATTCTGTTACACACCCAATACTACACCTGACTAACTGCCTTGGATTGCCTATCAATTGAGCTGTGTCAATCACAGTTAAGACCTATTAATTAATTACACAGTTGTACCACTTAGCCTGACCAATGATGCTAACCGTATCTGAGGGTACTGGTGGAGATTAGAGGTGTTCTCTCCTATGGTTTTTACTACTGATTTTTGTTCTATTTTAACTATGTATTGAATAAAATGTATACTTTTTATATAAAAACACGGTTGCAAAGTGTCGTTCAAAGTGCTTAAAAAACCCCACTTTTCCACATTGTCTCCTTCTAACCAAACTATCAGGGGTGTGGCACTCATTACAAAACACTAGACATGTGCACTGCCAAAAAATTCGTTTAGTTTCGTTTCGTTTTAAATTCGGATTTGTGTTATTTCGTTTTTCAGGATTCGGGTGTGAAAGTCAATTCGGATTCGGAATTCGGATTCGGACGAAATTCGGTAGCGTTAGTACGAACGTTCGTTTCGTTTTCTGTTCTTATTCGTTTCTTATTCGTTTCGTTCGTTCGTTTGCAGCAAAG